GACATCGTTTCCATCAATATATCAACAAAAACCTTTAAAGCCTTATAAATAGAACCTAAAAGTAAATAATAAAGCTACTCCATTCAGACCATAGACAAGCAATACTGCAAAGCCATTTTTGGAAGCAACTAAATTACTCATCTACAATTATTATAAAAAAAATAGTATAAAAATAGACATAGTTTTTAGGAAATTAATAGATCATGGATCAAATTTTTATGCTACTAATTTAAATTTATTATGAATAGTTTTTGTACTTACCTAATAATTTCCTACTCAAAAATATCAAATAGTATCACAGCCGTTGTTGCAACGTTCAACGGAATATCACAAATTTTGTGGGCTCACCTGGAATTCACCAACTATTTTAACCATCGAAATTGGGTGCGATCCAATTTTTACGTATGGAAATAATAATAATAATAATGCAATTGGGTTCGTGACTAATAGGCTATAAGTAGAAGATTCAGAACCTTGACGTTGGCAATGGTCTAAGGATTATATATATTGTATTTATTTAACATTGGCATTTTTACTAAGTGGTTTATGTAAACATTGTGACAAGGACATTGTGCTATGAAATAGATTAATTGTTATTGCAGTAAAATTTCTATAGCCTTAGTTATTGCAACAACTTTTGATCATAAAGTTTTCAATTTTAAAATAATATTTTGAAACATTATTTAATGTAAAAAATGTCCTTAGTAGAAATATTAACTGAAATTGTTTTTCCCTGGATTTAAAAAACTCCATTAAACCTTATGTGGGATATATTTGGACGGTAAAAAAGACTTAATCAATTTTATCAAAATAAATTAAATGATAAAAGGAAAACCATTGACAAATAGGAGAACAGTTAAATCAAAAAATGTAAGCAAGGATAGTTGGAAGATAAAATAAAGTTTTTGGGTCTAAACATAAAATTCCAGAAGATGTCAAAATTTCAGGATTATGCAATATTGTTGAAAATTTTTTTCTTTACCATGTTTATGGATAAAAAAGATATTTTACTTATATCCGGCAACACCTTACAAAATAAATATCCTAATCAAAATCCGCAGGTATTGATGTAATTAGTAGTGATAAAATTTAATACATCCGATTATTTATCTATTAATTAACGAATTTTTTGTTTAAAATAAGTTTCCTAAAGGCCTCAAAATTTCCAAAAACATCCCTATTTATAATATTAAGAATTATAGAAACATTTCCATTCTGACACAATTTGCTAAAATATTTAAAACATCCTATTAAATTAGGTTAATTTACTTTTTAGAGAAATATAAATATATATGTCAATCAACTTAGTTTTAAAAAAACTACTCAACCTTTACTGCTATGGGCCTTCATCTATGATTGTTTAAACCCATGATACCCCCAGGGGTCGACGATGACTCAGAAGGGGTCCACGATAGTCAATCGCATTTAAGCAGGTCACGACTTTAATTTTAGTTTCCGAGAAAAAAAAATGAAAGAGCTTTAAATTTTGAAATATAATGAAAATAAATGCATTCCTCAACAGCACTATTCTTAATATAATCCCGAAATTTGAGTTCTTAATGTCTTGTTAATGATTTTTTAAAATTCGCCAAAATTAGTGGCTAAAACGCCTCGTTAAGTGCTGGGCTTCTGGTGTAACGTGCCTGTAAGTCATCATTCGTTTGTTTCAACTAAATAAATCTATTAAGTAGGTATATCATCGTAAGTTTTAAGGAGTAACCATTGACAGTAAAATGTTATTCGAAAAACAAAAAAAGCTTAGTTCAGTTTATTTTCTATTCAGAGAAATTATAAATACAGTCTTCTTTGACATTCTTAAAATAATGTATTTTAGTTTTGGAAAAAAACCGCCGTTGCCCAGGGTCGGGGCCTCAAGAAGGGCCTGGACCACAAAAGAAAATTTATTTTTATCAATAATATAAGTATATTAGATAAGCATCATAAATATCTTCTAATATGCCTCTTTTTGTTTCAGGTAATTGACAATTCTACTTTGTGTAAGGTAACAAATAATTTCAATTCAATCGTTTTATTACATGCATGCATCTTCTAACATTAATATTCCCATAAAAATAATAGTTTTAATCATTTCATTATTAGTCTAAGATACGAAGTAAGGTCGATCTTCGCCCATCTGCTTACCGGATAAAAGTTTTTTTATTAAATAAAATACGTTTTTAAACATACCGCAACTAGAAAATACTGTCAAGACTATTTTCTTAAAATAAGAAAAGATGGTACCTTATAAAGTATGTCCTAGATGCTTTAACTATGCCCAAGATTTAATCAGCTCACTGCATTGATTAAAGCTTAAGCCGGAGCGCCACGGCAAATAGTAGTAATAATAATAATAATAATAATAATAATAATAATAATAATAATAATAATAATAATAATAATAATAATAATAATAATAATAATAATAATAATAATAATAATAATAATAATAATAATAATAATAATAATAATAATAATAATAATAATAATAATAATAATAATAATAATAATAATAATAATAATAATAATAATAATAATAATAATAATAATAATATCTGTCCCTTTCCCCTACACAAGTCGCTCAGTCGACTTCAGGGGTAAATTAGGGAGAGTATACTTAATTATAGCTATAGATAATAACATCGCAAGTAATTTAGCTATGAATCCTATACTTTTCTTATCTGTATGCAAACAAGAAAAATAGCAACCCATTTGCGGTATATTAACATATTTTATTTAATAAAAAATACCGTTCATTCGGTAAGCAGATGAGCGAAGGTCGACCTTACTTCGTATCCTGTACTGTATAGCATAATAATTATTGGTAGACGCAAATTCTCTTTTTAAAAAATGTCTACATAGGCTGAAAATGTAAATGTTGTCCAGCAGTTTGAAAAAGTAGAAAACTCTACACTTACCTTTTTTACTTGTATAACTATTGAGTACCATTACATCACAAATTTTTAATTATATTTTTTCAAGTGAAAATATTATTTACTTTAAAAAAAATTAAATATAATAAATTAATGGTCAAAATAATAAAACACCTGTTACACAAAATAAAAATACATCATAAAAAAATTGGTCGCCATTTCGGTATTATCTAAGTAGTTAACAGTTAAAACATATTTATAACTATTACAATTTCTTGTATGCATTTTTATTACTTTTAGATTCAAAAACTTTTCATAGTTTTTAGATTCCCCTATATTTATTGTTTTCATTGAGTTATATTATTCTTTATCATTATAAACTGTATTAACAAATGTGTTTTTATTCAAAAAAAAATCAAACACACATTTAAATGAAACAGAAAAACAGAAATTAAATGGTTAGCTAAGACAAAAATTAGAAAAATAAAAGATGAAGGAAAGAAAAAATAGAGAAAGAAAATAAATTATTGGTGATAATGGTACTTGCTGTGTGAAGCTGATTGGCCCCGTTTAACTCCCTATTGATCACCCAATAACTTTTTTAACAGCCCTCAAAAACATAAGTAATTAAAAAAAATTAAAGGCCGAGCGCCCACTGGTTCCTCAACATTTTATTTTTCAAAACTACATGCAACTTAGAATTCACTTCAATTTTTAACCAAGATTTGTTTAACCACCCCCTAAAATTTTCTGTATTACTTGAGAATCCATAATCAAACATAATTGTTTTGTTCTTTTTTTTTTTCGAGAAAACAAAACTTTTTCTCATGTATATAAATATTTTGAAACACACTGTATAATGGATTGCGTTGTGCTCTTCGAGCACGTCGTTAATAACAAAGTATATTCAAATATTGTTGTTAACGACGTGCTTGAAGAGTACGTCGCAATCTATTACGTAGTGTGTCCCAAAAATGTTTATACACATGAGAAAAAGTTTTGTTTAAAAAAAAATATTCTTGATATAATATTCTGCATTTCTTGGAATACCCATAATTCAACATGTAGAACACAGGAAAAATAAAAATAAAAGAATAAAATACTTTTAAATTTCAATATAGAGCAAAATATTAATTAAATTATTGATAGAAATTAAAATATGTACTTACCTACTCAAGTTTTAAGTCATTTCGATTTACTTTGTTCAATAAAAAATAATCCACAACCAATGCTAAAGTGTGTATTGGAAATTTTTTAATATTAAAAATATTATGTTTGATCATGGATGCAGAACATTTTATCGAGTATCATTTTTTTTTTGTTTTTGTAAAATGTAAGACAAAACTTGTATAATACTTTTTGAAACACATTGTATAATAGATTGCAGCAATGTGTGAGGTAAATAATTTGCAATAAACAACAAAAAAACGGTGACTCTTTTTGCTTTATTGAAAATTATACTTTTAAGCTTTTAATTATTTTTTTAGAATCCTGTAGAGCCAAAAATGATTATGTAGACATTTCGGGATCAGGACTAGCTTCCTTTATAGGTAAAAATTACGGTTAATATTATTTAAAAGAATGAAATAGTTAAAATCGTTTTTCCTGCTATTCCTTCAAAATGACGAAAGTTTTTAAAATTCGAAAAATACACATTCCAAATAGAATTTTTACTTAAAAAAAAATAGACAATCGACAGATTCACAAAAGTTTAGAATTATATTTCGACGTTTAACTACCCCTTAAAATTATTATAAGAAAATTATTTAAAGGGGTGATTTAAAAATCACATGAAAGATCAGACATGGTCCAAAATTGGCCAGTCCTATGATTCAAGTAGTTTTTTTTAATATTTATGTTACTGAGTATGGTCAAAAACAGTTACTTAGTGGTCAAACATGGTCAATTTTTGAATACCTGGGGAGGGGGAGCAACTTCCCAGAGCTGGTACTTACGCCACAGTTGTAAATTAATTTCTTGCTTCTTACTTATATGTGTTACCCTTTTAGTGAATATGCGGCTTAATCTGACACCTTCTGATTCTGGCATTTTTTTTAGGTATCAATTTTTTTATAATGTATTTTTAACTACTTGACAGATACATTTTAACTATCACAATATTCTACTCACTCGCAGATTATCAATTTTAAATTCGAGATCTTTAAAATCGTAATCCAAATTCTTTAACCAGGGTAAGTGACTGGACCAATAGTAACTGGGCCAATCGGTGTTCTGATAGTAATTCCTCAAGTAATTGGACAAGTAGGTTCTAGCCAAGGGCCAATACGAGGTGTTGTACACCCTAGGCCAAGAGTAGTACCAGCGGTAAACCTTCGGTAAGTATGTGGAGCTGGGTAAGTTGAGGGTGTTGTAGTAGTAATCGTAGTAATCGGATCCAGTTATGGGATAGTTCACATAGTAAGTCCGCTGTAATAAAAGAGGGTATTTACTATGTGATCAGCAGGAAGAGGGATTTCGTGATGAGGAAGCATGATGATTCACCGAATTTTTAATGTAATGTAAATACTGTAATGTTTGTGTACAGGACATTTCAAGACAAAACTTATTTCACTGCACAAAAGGAGCTAAAAAAAAAGTACAAAAACGTCATATATGACAACATTTGTACTGTAATAGTATACCCAGTGACAATGAGACCCTGATATGTTTTTTATTTATGAAGCCTTTGGATCAAATTTGGTACAAACATACTAGACATCATTTTGAATTCACACTAACATTTAAACAAAATGGCCAACTTCCGGTTTTACTAGAAATGCCAATAAGTTTGAGCTATCTTATTCTCTAATGAAATTCTGCGGTTTTTTTTATCTTGAATCATCCTGTATATAAAATTGGAATTAATTAAGTCAATTATTCCTAAACAAAAAGATATAAGTACTCTTGTTTTATTACTTTACTAGTTAATAAGTCTTTCAAAACATGTTTTTTTTTTAGGAAAAAAAAAACGAAAATATATAAAATTTTGTGTAAAGATAATAAATGACTTATTTATTGACCAAATATGATCATTGGTTGTGTTATATGAGATTACAATTGAAAATGATAATGGAATTATAGCTTCTGCTTTTTTTAAATTAAATGTTCACTGAATAAACTATGTTTTTATTATTTAACCCAAAAACAACATAATTCGGGATCACAAACATGGATCGCTTTTCTATAAATTAAAATATATTAATGAATATTCATTAAATACCAAATAATGTGAAATGGTTACATACTGTTAGATAGCAAAAGCCGAATGATGAAAGTGTACTGTTTTTTTAATGTAGTAGATTAATTGATCTACCATGAGTAGTGTAGAGGTAAAAGCATTTTTGGTCTGGAAGAAAATTCTTGAAAAATTCATATCAATACGCTAACGTTATATATTTTGATCTTTTATCATTTAAACAATATTAAAAATTTAGAATGTCTTCAAAAGGTTGAGATATAGCTTAATTGTCTCAACCTTTTTGGTGTGATACCTTAATGGTCTATCACAGATAAAAATAGGATTTTTATAGAAATATATACCATAAACATTTGTATTTTTTTTAAGTAAGATTTTGAAAATTTCAAGAAATTAAATAATAAAATTAGTAAAACAAAATTGTGAGAGGCTTAAGATTGGCGAGCAATAGTTTTTAGCAAATATCTTAGAAAAAAAGTTAAAAAGGAAAAGTATTATTACTTTTAATGAAACCATTTTTATAATCCTTCACCATCGCTAAAAGCATTTTATGATCTCGAAAATATTACCATATAGCACTTTAAAATATTTTAAAATATGCCACTATATTTTTTGGACAAATTTTTTTAATTTAATTATTTACAGTAAATGGCAAAATGACAAAGGTCAGCCTGGACTGTGTTTCAACTTAACCTTAACAATCTGTATATGTAACGTGTAGAGGCCTCATTAGGCCCATTGTGCATCCTCTTAAGTAGATAGGCACCTCCTAGCTCGTGAGCGAACCTACAGATTTATTGTAGTCAACAAGAAAGCCAAGAGACGCTTCTCTTATATCGGCCGATATTAGCCAATTTTTACAGAACAGAAATCTTCTAATAAATGAAAGCACATGGCAATCGTAGAATATATGTTCGATAGTCTCATCTACTTGTTCGGGCCCCCTGCAGAGTGCGGATTCTGACAGCCCAATGATATGGAGATGCTTTCGTAATTGGCAATGACCAGTCAGAATGCACAGATATGGCACAGATTATTTCTAGTCATAGTCAAGTACTTCTTTGCTGTAATCTTGTCAGAATAACTTAAAAGCTCCCTGGCGAGTCTGCAGCTTCTTGTTTTATCCCATCTTTCCTTGAATTTTGCAAGGGAATGTTCTTTTAAATAGGTTTGTCACTACCGATGTAGTCAGTTCAATAGAAGGGTTAGATCCAAAAAGTATTTGGTTGGTTGCCTTTTTGGCTAGTGAATCAGTAAGACGGCTACCTTTCGATGTGACGTGATATTTGATCCGTCTTAAGTTGGCCACATTGTTGAGCGTACTTCGAACAAAGCTTCCTGACATTCTAGTACTAACCCGGAGTAAATTCGTTATCTGTCCAGGGTGAGTAATTCGTGTCTGCTACCTGCATAGATAAGCATGTTCCTTCCAGTAATATTATTTCTGGTGATTTCTTTTGCTGCTATGAGAAACCCCGTGAGCTCGGTGTGAACTACACTGGAACTACTGTTCACAACCAATTTTATGTTTAGATTTAAGGATCTGGAGTATATTCCGCATACTGAACCTTTTTCTGTTTTAGAACCGTCGGTGTAGATATGAATCGTACCTGTCATTTCCGGCTCTTCTATTTGTTCTGTTATAACTTTATATGGCTTATGAAAGATATTTCTGCCAAAAGCGACGTCTTGCTTCACCAGATCCTACATCAGATTCTTTTCCAAACTTGCGAAGGCGTATCATTGTCATCAGAGCAATCTCCTTAATGTAGATATCAATGAGAGTGCGATTCTAAGAATGACTCAATAGCTGTGGTTGGAGTGGTTTTCATGGCTCCTGTTATGTTGAGACATGCTGTTTTCTGAATTTGTTCTAATTGGCGGATAGCTGTCAATTTTCAGGTTTTCGGTACCCAGACAACTGCAGCGTATGTTATCATAGGTCTTATGATGGCCGTGTAGGTCCATGCGAGGACTTTGAGGGAGACCACAGGTGCGCTTCACGGTTTGACGGCATTGTTCATAAGCAATGTATGATTTTTTTTATTTTGTTTTCTAGTTGTGAGTTCCATGTTAACTTGCTGTCAAAGGTGAAACCTAGGTACTTCACTTCTGTTGCAAATCTTAATCTTAACAATAATTAAGACAATAATTTTTACCATAAAAAAAAATTGAAAATGACTTAAATTTATGAAGGTCCAAAGTGAATTCCGAAGTGATGATACACTTATAGAGTCAATATAAATAAATAATTTTTAAGGTTATCAATGCTACAATCTAAAATCAGTAGGTAACTTGTTATATAGAGATGAGACGCAATAAGAAAAACTTCTTTAGAAAATGATTTTATTATGATGGAATACTAAAGTATTTTGGTTTCTGGTAGAAAAATTATTATATTGTGCGTAATATTTTAACTTTGCTAATAGATATTGTGGTTTTCTATTAAGAATTTCACTGAACAGAAAAATTTAATTTTAACGGGATGAACCCATTTTTCTAATCCATCGTCGAAAGCATTTTAAAAAATTCTCCAAAATGGCATATATTACTTTAACGACCAGTTTAAATATACTAATGATTCAGCTATATTCTTTGGACGAATTTTGTATAATAATAAATGAAATTTGATTTGAATTAGAAGTAAAATTTTATGCCTATGTTAATAAATTTGATTGTAAATAGTTAAAAAACATACAGTGTGAAACGAAGCTCTGTGCTTTCTCTATAATTACGATTTCAATTAACATAGAAAAATGTATACTCCATTGTCAAAAAATCTCCAAAATAGCTTTATATCTCTTTAGCGATAAATTTATTATATTACATTTGCAATATAGCATAAATAAATTATTTTATTATGTTTGTATTTTTTAAATCACCACTTTTTGGATATATGTTTGCATATAACATTATATATTTCAGTAAAAATGTTCATATTTTTGTCTTTTGTAGATAATATAGACATATTATTTAAATATTTGTTGCTTTTAAATCCGCGCTTTAATTATGACAATTAAAAACAAAACGTCTACAATTTTGTTTATTCATTTTTCAATAATAATGAATAGGTTTTTGTTCTCCCGATGCCAGAAAAATGTGTTTTGCTATAAAAAATGCAAAAAAAATTAAATTAAAGATATCAATTAATTAATTTGAGGTATAAAATGCAGGGTATTCCATTTCAAAAATTGAGAAAATCGTAACTTTGAGTTTTGACACACCCTGTGCATAATATAGCAAATGAATAAAGTCTAATAAAATTGTTATTTAAGAATAATTATTAAATATGGTCATACAACTTTTATATTAAAAATGTATTGGTATTTCCAATAATAAAACAGCTATTAATCAATTACGCACTGATGGGACACCCTGTATATGTGTTATTGGCTAACATGATATTATCATTGGATAGGCAAATTTATAAAGTATTTAATGTTAAAATAATATACAGGGTGTTGCATTTGAAAAAAATTGAGTAAATTGAACTTAAAATTAGCCTTATTTAAGACATGTTTCAAAACACTCTATATAAAATAAACCAGTTCTATCTCCACTATCCGTTAGCTTAGCATCTTATAAGTCTGTATATTAAAAAATGTTAAATTGTATGTAAATCTACCTAAATTATGTTAATTTAATTTGGGGTCTGCATCATTCTCTAATTTCAATAAAAAATAATTGCTTGGCAACCATGTAATGTTTTTTAAAAAAGGATTGAGTATAGTATTTCCAAACCATTTTAAAAATAAAATAAAATACAAGGTGTTCTATTTAAAAAATATACATTTTTATTTGCCAGGCAAAAATGCAACACCCTGTATATCCAACAATATTTTTATAATATGTAATTTTTTAAATGCATATAACTTTTATTTGAAACCTGTTTTCGTGTCTATAACACTAATTGAAATATTGAACAAATACGCACTAATGTATTTGTGTACATGTAGTTACACATAAATAATATTAGTTGATTATTTAAATATTTATTTTGTTGCGATATTTCAAAAACATAAATTATTTAAATCAATAATTAAAAAAAAAAATTAATTTGAAATTATTTTATGGCAGGTTTGATTAATATACCTAACAACGTACAGGAACAAGTCATGCATATTGCGAATGCTTATAGACATACTATTTTGCGATGTGCTGCGCAGAGATCCGTTTTGGTGCACAGTAGGTGTCAATTTCTACTTAAATATTCCATTTTTTGGTCTTCTAT